CATCACAACAGCAACTGAAATTTCAACAGTTGAGGCTCTACAGCGCTGAGTGGCACCCTGTTCACTGACCTTTCCCTAACTAGCGTCGGGTCCACACTACGAAAAATTCGAAAACCCTAATTATGAAACGAAATCGTAAGCTGAAATGCAGTTACTGCCTCCTACCCCCACCCACGATCATCATTCAACAAAAATCCACTCCACAACCATGGGCATCTTGCACTTCATCTTACCTGATTTCAAAAAAACGGAAAGCAGAATCCAAAAGTTTTTTCACTGAAACCTAAGTTATGCTATATCAACAAAACTGTCAAAGAACGTTTTTACTTTCACAAATTTTTGCCCTATTCCTTATAGTTTCAAACAGAGTTCTCTGTCATTTAAATCTTGCGTCGTACTCATGCTTAAAAACAGAATTTACGAATGATTCCATTCACACCACTACATGATCTTTCACTCGACATATTATTGACTTTCAAAACAATGGATGGCATTCCTCAAACTCAACTTGGGCGAACAGAAGTTCATCAGCCCACACAACATCGTCAAATAAATTCAATTAAATTAAATACAAATAGTACGGAAATTTAGTTCGTGGTCACGTCCACGTCCTTCAAAATCAAACATCACAAGAATATAAAAACATAAAGCCATTTATTCTGAAACATTTACTTAGATCCAAAGCTGCTCGAAAATATTAAAATTTTACAAAACCAACAACAATAATAATAAAACAGTTTCACAGCGTACAAAAGTGGAATAAGGCAGAAAGAAAACTCACAGTTTCGTCGACGGTCACGATTCGCAGTGCAAAAAAAATAAACACCATCAAATTACTTGATTTTCTGCTCGTACTTTAACCGCTTAGTGACACGACCGAAACACATACCAAAAATGAAGATGATCAAAATCAGCACGAGGAGTACCGTCATCAAATGCATACGAATGGACGACTCGGCAACCAGCTGAGCAAACTGTACTATGTTGTCTGGGTACCTTAAGCCACCAAACTCCTATAAATAAAACATTGAATTCGAGGAACTTCCGCGACTGACAAAGACACAACTAGCGATCATGTCATGTTACAGTATCACGTGTACGTGTTGTAGTCTGCTAAATACATCTCCTAGGTCAGTGGAAGTTCCAGAAGGGTGAAAAATGACGCCTTATGAATCTCGAACGATTGTACTATTCCAACCGGCGGTATCGAAAAGCAGTATGTCACTAGTATTTAATATCATTCAGCAATATCCTAAAGTTCAGTAAAAAGTTCCACTCCTGTACCTTATATAGAATAAACCTCTGCATTACGGGTTTGTTAGCAAACTGTCAGTTTCAATACCACAAGTAGGAACAGCATTCTGAAGTCACTTCTCCGGACTTACACGGCCAACGGAAGGTCTTTGCTTCTGATAGCCTAGAAGACCGTCTAAGCAGGCCACGGCTCCATGGGATTTTGGCAGAAGCAATACACTGTTTTGAGCAAAACAGCATCACATTTTGGGTCGATTAAACACATGCTCGAACACCAACCAATATATTTCAGTCCATAGGAATATAATCCAAAAATTAACACAGAACAACTCCTCAACGACCAGGTTACACGACGCATAACACCGTCGTTCTAGTAGCCTACAGGATCGTTTACGACGTGTTTGCTCGATCCAACAAATGGTACATTTTACGCCCATTAACTGCAGGTACCAAAAGCCATGCAGCCGTGGCCTGCTTGAACGGTCCCCTAAGCTACTAGAAGCAAAGGAACCGTGCGCTATGCCTTGTACAACAGAAGATGACAGGAGAATGTCACAGAGTAGACGCAAGTCCGTTAATTAACTTGTAACCTGTCTCAAAGATGAACTGTATATAAACAAGACTTGAGGTTTTTGGTTCTGTCCATCCTTTATTGTATAGATGTATGTCCCAAGGCACCTGCCACGTTTCGCTACATAAACTAGGATCTGTCGTAGCTTTGAAGATGCTACGGTGTATGTAGTTAAACGCGCTTTATCATCTGCAATACTTAGTGCCATGAATCATGAATCGTTCAATCACCTACCTATGAACTGCATGTAATTTTTTACAAAAACTTTTGGCTATTCTGAATATTAAAAAAATTCGTTATGTTTTGATTAAGATCAGACCATTCTACTCTGTACATTTGAGCCAATTAGTTGTTCAGCCCAATACAATTAGTATAAGAATCTTTCCGCTAAATGGTTTTTAAACCATGATTTTAACATATTTTGATATCCAGACAAACATAATCATACGCAACTCAGATTGCATTCTAATTAAACATGGAACTCGTAAATCTTCTTAATCATCATACCTCAGATAACTGCATGAAGCACAAGCTTTCAATAAGTTACTTTTAACCATGACTTGATCAGATATTAAATAAAAATAGTGATCGAGGTGGCGGAAAAAAAATATCAGCAGCATTATCCTGTGGAGGTTGCTAGAATACGGCTAAAATATAAAAATCTCGTCCAGACTAATCGGAGACATCAAAAACAGGTGTTTCGAATGAAAGAGGATCTGGGTGATTGCAAGACTGGCATTTCAGTATAAATACAGTGACGCGGATGTGCGTTCGTCCACAGTAGGCACTGTAATAAACTGCACCGGCTTGGCTCCGTAAAAAAATCCCCAGCACCGTAGAAGCAATTGATGATCTGACATGATTTGGCAGAGCGTATATCCATTTTAAATTCACAAGTGACATGTCGACCAAATATGAGATTTGCAATTACAATTCGAATAACTATATTCGAATATTTAATAGCAATTACGTACAAAATATAATACAAAGTATTTTTGATCACGATAGTCTTTAAAGGGTATACTCCGAATTGATGCATTAGAAGACATGCCCAATGATTTAGACCGTACTAGATTCATCTTCCGTACAAATTCACAAAAAACTCATAAAAACCTTTTCACGATCATTAAGGCTGCTACGCAAGCGATATCAAAATGTATATCACAGAGGCAGAAAGACTCAGATGTAATTCTGCGTGGGCTGTCTAAATGACTTCTGCGTTGCATGCTTGAAGACCGATGATATACCTTCGAGGTTTTTAGAGTGCGATTTTAAATAAGTAAGTTAAGTAATAATATAAATAAAATTTTAATGTGCAGTGTAACTCCGCCATGGCCGGTCCCAAGCCCGGATGAGAAAG